CGCCCCCGGGCCGCTGCCGTGGACGCGGGCCGTTCCGCCGGCTGCAACACAAACACGCGTCACGAGGTGCAGGTGGCGGTGGCCAGCGAGATCAGGGGGGCGATGGAGTGAGACAGATGTGACAAAACCACCTCTCTCCCTCTCTCTGCCTCTCTCTCCCTCTCTCTCCGTCTCTCTTTCATACTCTCCCCACCCCCTCCCTTCCATCTCTTTCTCTCTCCCTCTTTCTCTCATGACAGGTCGTCGTGGATCGCGGTGCTCCGCGGGGCGCCCCGTCCGGTCTGGCGCGCCCGACAGGCCGACCGGGAGAACGACTTTACCTTTCAAAATGCAAACGCCTGGGCGCTGCGGCTCGGCTCTCGGCTCTGCCCGGCTCGGCTCAGCTCGGCTCGAGTCGCCATCGGGAAAGGCGTCGCAATGGTTTTTATGGCTGTTGATAGGTCGGCTCTTGCGCCTCCAGTTAGTTGACCTGCTTATCGTGCGCCACACCCGGCCACGGCTAAGATATATTGGGATTATAAACAATAATTGTTACTCACTGTTGCCATGCTCGTTGGTTGTGTGTGTGTGTGTGAGAGAGAGAGAGAGAGAGAGTGAGTGAGTGAGTGAGTGAGAGAGATAATTTTAATAATAATCATTTGTTTTACTTTTTTTTACTACCCCAACGGCGAGGGTTCAATCATGATTAAAAGCGTTTGTATCGGAGAGTTCGCTTACCAGAGTCTCGTCGGCCGTTGAGGAATAAAGAATAAGAGAGGAAAAAAAACGTGTGATTTCTCGCAGGCGGCGGGCGGAGTGCCCTAATCAGAGAGTTATTACAAGAACTGCTCGCAGAGCCGCGCTGCTGCTCGCGACCCTGGTGGCGGTGAAAGGCAGGGAAGGGGATAAAGTAATGATTCATTAGGTTCTGATAGGGCGATGTGGGGCTGGAAATGGGAGGCCCCCCCCCCCCCCACGAAAAAAAGCAGCGGGGATGCAAAGCGATTAAAAAGAATTCCACGACTCGTCCTTGTGGCTGCGCGGCACGACAGTCTTATCTTGATACGACTGCTGCACTGTCCGCCCGCGCACGCCGCCCTTCTTTCTCTCGCAGTCCCTTCATTTATTCTTTTCGGTTCGGAGCCGAGGACGTCGATCCCGAGCTCAGAATGTGGAAAGAAGGCAGGAGGAAGGAACGCCGACGCAAGTCTGTTTGTTCCATGAAGAGGTGTGGTCACCCTTTAAAGTGGCGCCCCCCAACGCCACTCTGAGGTCGAGCCGGTCGGGCCAGCCGGCCGGTCCGTGGCCAGGCGCCGTGTCGTTACATTTTAGAGAACCGCGCCCGCGGGCTGGGCTCGAGGGCGAGCGCAGATCAGCCGGTTCCGATACGCCGCGCTTACGAACGGAGTGGGGGGAGGAGGAAGGGGAGGGGAGGGG